CACCTTAGGTGTATGTGGCTGGCGCCTTAGCCACTTGAGCCACAGGTGCTGAGCCATAAGTATTATAACAGTACATATGATGGTCTAGGTATCAGAGAAATCTCACTATAATCAAAATTTTCTGAATTTCCCAATTCATACTGAGAAGCAAATAATCCAAAACATACAAATAAAAAAACAAAGCAAAATGAAAACTGTTCAACCTGTGGCCGAGAGGAAGAAAAAAGACGACTAATTATGGGATGGAGCACAGATACGGAATATTTAGATCCTGGCTCACAGGAGATGCTCTTTACCTTATCGCAGCATTCAACAGCTTTGGTGTATTCTCTGAGCTTCAGGTAGCACATGGCCAGGTTCAGAAAGGCAGCCAGTAGGAAAGATTCTGAAGCTTTGGACTCCTTTTCTGACAAACCATATTCCATCTCTAACCAGGATACTATCTTCCCGTACTGAATCACCGCCTGCATGTACTTGCCTCCCTAGAAGGAAAAAGCTAGTAATTACTTGCACTTGGCTCCTCAGGGGGTGCAAAAGACAAGCAGATCCTCAAAAGAAACAGCCCCTCAGTAGGGAAAAACCACTCTGAGTAGGGATGGTTTCTTTCTGCCTTTGGCAGTTTCATAGGCCTGTGAGTTGGCTCAGGACAGCGCACTGGCACTGTCTAATGCTATTCTCCCAGCGTCACCCTCCCGTCCCCGCAGCAGGTGTGCACCGAGGCTTTTGGGTTACATTCTTTGGTGCTAATGGTCATTGGTCTTTCAAGAGGAAGTGAGAAGTGTTAGGCTGTGCCACTAGTTTAAGTGAAGAGGAAGTTTCTTTTTCCTTCTGATGTGCAGCATTGCACAGTCAGTGCTATATATCTAGCAAGTGCCAATCCCAAACACAGCAAATCTTATCTCAATGAGTCTCTGTTGCAACTATTAAACTCTGTCATTTTTGGTGCAAAAGCACCTCTAGACACTATCTAAGTAAATGAGTATGGCTGTGTCTTGGTAAAACTTTACTCACAGCAACAGGCAGTGGGTCGCATTTGCCTCAAATGCTGTCATTTGTTGACCCCTGATCTACAGGCGATGGGAATATAAATAGTTGACGATAGCCTCCAACATGAATAACAACTACAAAACCTCATAATCACACAGATGTGTCAGTCACATCAGTGTGACTATGTGAGAAAAATCTTTTTCCTATTCATAGTTTTGTTCTCTTATCTGATCAGTAGGATATGAATAATCGAATCATCACATAACTCATTATGTATGTGTGTGTGTGTGTGCATACATCTATGCTGTATACAAGAAACTCTGGAGTTGAAACGACGTGTTCACATTTTAGATAAATGAAAGGATGGAGTGATAGCTGGTAAATACACAAATACAGTGGAGTCCTGGAGAAGGCTCTCCTTTGCCAGATAAGCTCAAAACACAGATGACACATCCTACCAGATGGTAGAAGAGCAGCCAGAGCCATCAGGACGTCTAACCAAGGAGCAGTGTGAAGACCATGTCACTAGGATTACCATCATCGAAGCCGTGAATGCATCTCATTGCAGACTTGTCTTTCCCCATATGGGAGGCCAACCTTTACCCAGTGACTTTGAGTAAGAAGAGAAAAATTAAAGAGCAAATCTAAGAGAATGTTCCTGTTATACAAAACTTCAAGTGGTGGTGTAAGAAATGAGCTCCACAGAAAGGAAGCCTTGTTGTCTATTTTTTGGTGATGAAGATAGGGTAGACCTGTTTAATTGGAGGGCCTGTGTCCGAATGAGGGCTAAGCTACATCCTCTGAATATCCTACTCCACACAGTATTTGTTTAGGAAAAGGGGAAGACTCACAGAGCTTTCAGTTTTGTTGCAAGAAAGCAATGCAAAAGGATTTTGGGATGCTATGAACAAGGAGGACACTAAAGTCAAAGTCTGTTACCCTTTCTGCCTCAGAAATTTGTGATACAGGTTATTTGTAAGAATATGAAACCAAAACTCTTTATTATACATGTTGAAATTCTGGGGTTTTTTTAGACAGGGTATCACATACTCTGTTGATCAGAGTGGTGATGGCGGCATGATCATAGCTCACTGCAGCCTCGAACTCTTAGGCCAGCGGTTCTCAACCTGTGGGTTGCAACCCCTTTGGGGGTTGAACAACCCTTTCACAGGGGTCGCCTAAGACCATCCTGCATATCAGATATTTACATTACGATTCATAACAGTAGCAAAATTGCAGTTATGAAGTAGCAATGAAAATAATTTTATGGCTGGGGGTCACCACAACATGAGGAACTGTACCAAAGGGTCGCAGCATTAGGAAGGCTGAGAACCCTTGTCTTAGGCTCAAGTGATCTGCATGCTTTACCCTCCTAAGTAGCTGGGACTATAGGTATGTATCAACCCGGATCAGTGCTGAAATTCTTGAGGAAATTTACACTTGCTATAGACTGAATTGTGTCCTCAACACTAAATTCATATGTTAAGTCCTAACCCCCAATGTGATGGTATTTGGAGATGGGGCCTTTTGGGAGGAAATTTGGTTTAGATGAGGTCATGAGGGTGAGGCCCTCCTGATGGGATTAGAGTCCTTTTAAGAAAAGACATACCAGACTATTGAAGGTTTTTCTTTTATTCCATATAAAATGAAGTACTAGTTTTTCCAGATCTTTAAAGTATGACAGAGGTGTTTTAATAGCAGTTGCATTAAATCTGTAAATTGCTTTGGGTAGTATGGACATTTTAACAATGCTGATTCTTCCCAGCCATGAGCATGGTATGTTTTTCCATTTATTGACATCTTCAGCTATTTCTTTTCTCAAAGTTTCATAGTTCTCTTTTTTTTTTTTTTTTTTTTTTGAGACAGAGCCTCAAGCTGTCCCCCTGGGTAGAGTGCTATGGCATTATAGCTCACAGCAACCTCCAACTCCTGGGCTCAAGCGAGTCTCCTGCCTCTGCCTCCCAAGTAGCTGGGACCACAGGCGCCCGCCACAACGCCCGGCTATTTTTTGGTTGCAGCCGTTATTGTTGTTTGGCAGGTCCGGGCTGGGGATTCGAACCTGCCACCTTAGGTGTACGTGGCTGGCGCCTTAGCCGGTTGAGCTATAGGCGCCGAGCCTCATAGTTCTCTTTATAGAGACCTTTCACATCCTTTGTTAGGTACAATCCCACATATTTCATTTTCTTTGGCACTACTGTAAAGGGAATAGAGTCCATGACTGTTTTTTTCAGCTTGACTATTGTTGGTATATATGAATGCTACTGATTTGTGAGTATTGATTTTGTATCCTGAGATGCTGCTGTATTCCTTGATCACCTCTAAGAGTTTTGTGGTTGAGTTCCTGGGGTTTTCCAGGTATATGATCATATCATCTGCAAAAAGTGAAAGTTTGATCTCCTCTGACCCTATATGGTTACCCTTGATCGCTTTCTCTTGCCTAACTACAATGGCTAAGGCTTCCATTACAATGTTAAAAAGCAGTGGAGACAGTGGGCATCCTTGCCTGTTCCTGATATGAGTGGAAATGATTTCACTTTTACTCCATTCAATACGATATTGGCTGTGGGTTTGCTGTAGATGGCCTCTATCAGTTTAAGAAATGTTCCTTCTATACCTATTTTCTTAAGTGTTCTGATCAGAAAAGGATGCTGGATATTATCAAAAGCTTTTTCTGTATCAATTGAGAGGATCATGTGGTCTTTGTTTTTTAATTTGTTTATGAGATATTACTCAGAAATAAAAACAAATCAGGTAGAATCACTCTACTAGACTTCAGATTATACTATAAATCTATAGTGATCAAAACAGCATGGTATTGGCACAAAAATAGAGAAGTAGATGTATGGAATAGAATTGAGAACCAAGAGATGAACCCAGGCACTTATCATCATTTGATCTTTGATAAGCCTATCAAAAATTTAAATTTGGGGAAAGACTACCTATTTAACAAATGGTGCTGGGAGAATTGGCTGGCAACTTGTAGAAATGAAACTGGACCCACACCTTTTACCTCTAACAAAAATTGACTCTCACTGGATAAAAGACTTAAACCTAAGACATAAAACCATAAAGATTCTTGGAAAGAGTGCAGGAGAAACACTTGAAGAAATTGGTCTGGGAGAAAACTTTATGAGGAAGACCCCCAGGGCAATTGAAGCAATACCAAAGATACATTACTGGGATCTGATCAAATTAAAAATTTTTTGCACTGCCAAGAACACAGTAAGTAAAGCAAGCAGACTGCCCTCAGAATGGGAGAGGATATTTGCAGGTTACATTTCTGACAAAGGTCTGATAACCAGAAACCCCAGAGAACTCAAACTTATTAATAAGAAAAGAACAAGTGATCCCATTTCACTATGGGCAAGAGACCTGAACAGAAGCTTCTCCAAAGAGAGGCACATGGGATACAGACACATGAAAAAATGCTCATCTTCTTTAATCATCAGAGAAATGCAAATCAAAACCACTTTGAGATACCATCTAACTCCAGTGAGAGTAGACCACATCACAAAATCCTAAAACTACAGATGTTGGTGTGGATGTGGAGAAAAAGGAACACTTTTGCACTGCTGGTGGGAATGCAAGCTAGTATGTTCCTTTTGGAAAGAAGTTTGGAAAACACTCAGGGATCTAAAAATTGACCTGCCATTGGATCCTGCAATTCCTCTACTAGGAGTATATCCACAAGACCAAGAATCACTTTGCAAAAAAGATATTTGCACCAGATTATTAATTGCAGCTCAATTCATAATAGCCAAGTCATGGAAGAAGCCCAAGTGCCCACTGACCCATGAATGGATTAATAAATTGTGGTATATGTATACCATGGAATACTATGCAGCCTTAAAAAAGGATGAAGCCTTTACCTCTTTTAGGTTTACATGGAAAGATCTGGAACATATTATCCTGAGTAAAATGTCTCAAGAATGGAAGAAAAAGTATCCAATGGACTCAGTACTTCTATGAAACCTACTTATATTTACTCACACTTTCTTATGAAAGATAGAACACAACCATAGCCCAGGATGAAGGAGAGAAATGGAGTGGGAAGGGAGGGAGGGGGAAGGTTTGACAGAGGGAGGGTAAAAGGTGGGACCACACCTATGGAGCATATGACAAGGGTACAAGTCAAATCTGTGAACATAGATGTTTTGGCACAATAATCAAGTAAATGAGGTGAGAGCTATTTTGATTGGTTTAATGTAACCAAGTCAGATTGTATTAAAACTGTACTTCAGATATGCATGAATGTATTCATGATCTGTGTGTATTTGACTTAATAAAATTAAAAAAAAAAAAAAAGAGAGACACCAGAGAGTTGCTTGCTCTCTCTCTCTCCAACTAAACTCACCTGAGGAAAGCTCATGTGAGGACACAGCAGGAGGGCGCTGTAAGCAACCCAAGGAGAGGTCCTCACAAGACACTGATCCTGCTGACACCTTGGTCTTAGACTCCAGCCTCCAGAAATAAATCCCTATTGTTTAAGCCACCC